ATAAAAAAACCCCAGTTGAATATACAGAGCGTTGCTGTTACCCAAGTGCCACAATAGAGGGCAGTGTAACATTACAGCTCTCCCTGTGTGTTCTGCATTGGTCATTTATAATATCTTCCTTCTCTCCCAGGCTCATTAAGGTTAGAGATAGAGAGCATTACTAGTAATATAGGGGATAATGTAAGCATGTAGAGATTCTGTGCGTCAGGCATTTATTATAGGCCAGCATACAGCCCAGGATGCATCTATATATGTCAACAAACACGGCAAGCTGCTGGACCGGCATTTAGTATAGGAAGGAAGTCGGCGGACCTTTACACATAGAACATTTTCCACCGATTAGCAGTTATACGGTGTCAGGAAAGGGTACTGGTGTGCAGTTACAGATCGGAATCTGCTGTCTTTTGATTTATTGCTTTTTTTTATGTGTATTTTTTTTTTTCTTATGTCTGCTGCAGCTTAATAGTCTGCTCCTGCACGGTGCAATCCTTTCTAGACCTCGTAAAATAAAATGGAAGACATTTATCTTAAAAAAGTGAAAAAGGAAGACTATTATGGCTGTCTGTTGCAGCCAATTACATATCCAGTTTTCATAACCTGCTGTAAAAAAATGAAAGCTGCGGTCCTATTGGCGGCTGTGGAAATGAACCGTTTGCATTCATTTTTATCCTCCACCGCTGCTTAGTTAATAGGGACCCTCCATTGGAAGCTTTGAATTTCTCACATGGGCTAGAAAAAACTGTAGCTGGGATTTGATCGCTTGATACAAATGGGTGTCACCTTCCATTTGGTAACCTGCAAAAAAAAAAAATAGCATTAGCTGGTGTGAATTTTAGGTCTGGTTCACACCAATGCGTTTCTTTTTAGTCCTTTTTTGCAGAAATGCACTACAGTCCATTTAACATGGTTTCCTATGGGGCGCATACACATCTCTGATTTTTTTGAGCTACTTTGTTTTTGGAAAGGGTCAGGGTTGCGTTTTTGGTTCAATAGACTTCAATGGAGACACTGCAGAAAATGCATGTAGTGCGTCTTTGACATGTTTTTATGCGTTTGCCACGTTTTTGATGGGTTTTGCGATTTTAATCTGCCCAGCAACAAGTTGGCCAAAAGAACGCATCAAAAAACATGCCAAAAACGCACAAGCAAAAATGCAAAATGCACTGCAAAAAGCAATGTAAAACGGACAAACCGCAAACTGCATTGGTGTGAACCAGGTCTGAAATGCAATGAAAACACATAAAAAATGCACACGCACAAGAGGGAGAGAGAAAGAGAGAAAGAAAGAGAGAAAGAAAGAAAGAGAGAGAGAGAGAGAAGAGAGAGAGAGAGAGAAAGAAAGAAAGAGAGAAAGAGAAAGAAAGAAAGAAAGAAAGAAAGAAAGAAAGAAAGAGAGAGAGAGAAGAAAGAAAGAAAAAGAAAGAAAGAAAGAAAGCGGGGGAGAGAAAGAAAGAGAAAAAGAAAGAGGGAGAGAGGAAGAAAGAGAGAAAGAAAGAAAGAAAGAGAGAAAGAAAGAGAGAACGAAAGAAAGAGGGGGAGAGCGAGAAAAAGAAAGAGAAAAAGAGAGAGAGAGAGAGAGGGGGAGAGAGAAAGAAAAGAGAGAGAGAGAGGGAGAGAGGAAGAAAGAGAGAAAGTATAAAAGAAAGTTTATATTTATCATCAGGTTCTAAGAAAGAAAAAGAAAGAGAGAAAGAGGGGGAGGGGGGGGGGGAGAGAGAGAGAGAGAGGAAGAAAGAGAGAAAGAAAGTATAAAAGAAAGTTTATATTTATCTTAAGAAAGAAAGAAAGAAAGAAAGAAAGATGGGAGAGAGAAAGATGGAGAGAGAGAGAGAGAGAGATGGAGAGAGAGGGAAAAAGAAGAGAAAGAGAAAGAAAGAAAAGAAAGAAAAAGAAAAGAAAGAAAGAAAGAAAGAAAAGAAAAAGAAAGACAGAAAGACAGAAAATTATTAGCTGTCAGAGGGAGGCAGAAGATGATTGAACACAACAACAACTAAATTATCATTTTGGGCCACTGCAATATTTTAGCCTTTGAACACTCAGAGAACCAAATAGAATAGTCAGAAACTCCTATTAATCAATCAGTCTTCATGTTTCACTGATTGAAGCAGCAGAAATAAATGTGACGTGTCCCCGGGAGTCATCACTGCAGTTTGCACATTAGTTTTGTCTTATTCTTTGTTTGTGGAACAACATTACTGATATCAAATGGAAGACATCAGGCAGCAAAATGGCAGCCCAGTATAGACCAGAGGCTGCAGCTAACAATAACACACATGTCCTCTAAGTGTAATTCATTTTATGCTTTGGGATAACCTCATTTATTTAAACGATTGTAGTGTTTGAGATAAACATGAAATAAACTGTAATCCAAAGCTGAACTCCAGATAAACAGCTAAGTACACAATTAAAATACATCTATGGTAGTTAGTCTTGAGATAAAGATAATCCTGCCAGGCAGCATAAGCAGGTTGGAGATAGTTTTTTTTTTTTTTTTGCACTGCTGGAGAAAAAAAAAATGAACTCCAGATAATCGGCTAAGTATACAGGTAAAAATACATACTGTGTATGTGAGCTGTTTTATTAATTAGTGATTTGCAATCTTGTGCAGCCAATTTTGTTATCCTCAACCCTTGTCAGTAAATTCCCTGTGCATGCTGCATAGCCTGGTTGGCTTCTAGTGCTGTCTCTCTCTCCTCTTTAAAGTGCTGCCAAGCTGGGGATTAAGGTAATTCAGGTATTTACACACATTGAATCTGAAAAAAAATAAATAATAATTAAAAAACAAAACAAAAACACAAACAAAGCAATAAAAAAACAAAACAAAAACAACAACATGTATAAATGAAAGCAGAAAAAAAACAAAAGGTGGACTCAATGAACCACTTGGTCTTTTTTGCTGCTGTCACTTTTATATTTTTCTAAAAAATTAATTTTATTTTTTTCTAATGTATACATAATATCATTAATGCACAATTAAACTCACTTCCAGTAATTAGTGGTGCGCCAAAATGAAAATTCTTGGACCAAAACCAAAAATTGAGGATGCATTTGGCAAAAAAACGAAACCGAAACAGTTTTTTTAAAAAAATATATAAAATAAAATATATTTTTTTTTTATATATAATTGTATTATATTCGACTTTTTAATTAATATCATGAATTTAAATGAATATGAATACTGAATATGAATTTATTTTCAGCACCTTTTCGGCCAATAGGCTGCTTTCACACTATTTTGTTATTTTTTTGGGGTTAAGTGCAAAGACGTATCACATAAATACTTATAAATATAACATTTATTACAAGTAATGACAGATACAGATAAAGAAAATATAACAACAATACTTAACTAAAGTTGCTGTTTCCTCCACGGGTCCCTCCATTACATGGCGTGGCCGATGATCAGAACAGATGCATTCTTACCGCAAGTTCTGGGTCCAGACCAGGGGCGGACTGACCATTTGGAAACTCGGGCACTTCCCGAGGTCCCGGGGTTCAGTAGGGGGCCCTGTGAGATGCCCCTGGTACCTTTTTCATAGGCTTTTTTGAGTTTGGGCAAGGACACAGGGGCCCCATGATCCCCTATTGCCCGGGGGCCCCATGAGTTGTCAGCCGCCCTTGCCAGTAGCATGAGCTGTAGAATGCTGCGTTAAAAACGCAAGTTTTGTTACATTTTTTAGCATTTTTGCATTAGCTTTTTTCAGCTTTTTTTAGTGTTTTTCAGCATTTGCAGGCTTTTTTAGCATTTTTTTTAGCAAGACTATACTCCTACAAAAGCCTGAGGCTCAAAAACATTAATAAATGCTGGATAGCTGTGTTTTTTAGTGTGTTATAGAGCGTTTTTACTCCTCATGCACACTGGACATTATAAAACCGCCAGTAGCATTAGCTGTAGAATGCTGCATTAAAAATGCAAGTTTTGTTGCGGTTTTTAGCATTTTTGCGTTAAGTTTTTTCAGTGGTTTTTAGTGTTTTTCAGCATTTGTGTTGTTTAGCATTTTTCAGCAAAACTATACTCCCACAAATGTTCGAGGCTCAAAAACACTCATAAATGCTGGATAGCTGCGTGTATTAGCGTTTTTCAACTTATATCAGCGTTTTTCAGCTTTTATCAGTGTTATAGAGCGTTTTTATACCTCATGCACACTGGACATTATAAAAATGCCAGTAACATTAGCTGTAGAATGCTGCATTAAAAAATCAAGTTTTGTCGCGGTTTTTAGCATTTTTGCGTTAGGTTTTGTCAGTGGTTTTTAGTGTTTTTCAGCATTTGCATTGTTTAGCATCTTTTAGCAAAACTATACTCCCACAAAAGCTTAAGGCTCAAAAACAGTCATAAATGCCAGATAGCTGCGTGTATTAGCGGTTTTCAGCTTTTATCAGTGTTATAGAGCGCTTTTACACCTCATGCACACTGGACATTATAAAAATGCCAGTAACATTAGCTGTGGAATGCTGCATTTTTTAGAATTAGTTTTTTCAGTGTTTTTAAATCCTCATGCACACGAGACATTTTGATAACACTGGTAATGTTAGCTGTGTAAAGTCACATTAAAAATGTGAGTTTTCAGCATTAGTTGGCGTCACGCTGCGGTTCTGCGCATGCGTGACGATCGGTATTTATACCTCTTCGCTGGCAATGGCAAGGTCCCTTTGAAAATGTGCAAGTGCACGAAATGCATTAGGGAGGAGCCAAGCCAGTGATACCAGACTGCCTGAGCCACGAGGGAGGCCAGCCGCCATCTTGGAATTTGTGTTCACATTCCTATATACCATAGCTTCATTCCTATGGGCCAGATGTGAGTTTAATATGTTCAATTTTATGATTCTGCTGCTGATTTAATAAACTTACTGCACTATATAGCACTTTCTTCTCTGTCTCATTTATTTTGAGACACTAAGGTGGATCCAGGGGCGGACTGACAACCCACGCAGGCCCAGGGAGAACATGCAAACTCCAGGCAGGTGGTGCCGTGGTTGGGATTTGAACCAACGACCCTAGTGCTGCCAGGCAGAAGTGCTAACCATTTAGCCACTGTGCTGTCCCACAATATTCAATCACCAGGGGCGAACCTGACAACTCATGGGGCCCCCGGGCAATAGGGGATCAGGGCCCCTGTGTCCTTGCCCAAACTCAAAAAAGCCTATGAAAAAGGTACCAGGGGCATCTCATGGGGCCCCCTACTGACCCCGGGCCCTCAGGCAGTGCCCGAGTTTCCAAATGGTCAGTCCGCCCCTGGGTGCTTATCATTGGGTGCGTAAGAGTGAAATGGAATCTTCCCTGTGATCCGGAGAGTGTTAGTGGAGGAGAGGCTGTGGGCAGACACGTTTACCAGATGTACCCCGTTTATCCCAGGAGGATGATGACCAGGAGTGGTCTTGATTACTCAAAAGCGCTATAATTTGCACTGTTTGGTTAGTGCAACTTACCCCCCTTTTCCACATGCAGCTGATGCACGGATCTGCACCATTTTGGAGTTTTTGACTGTCGCTGATACACTGTGTTGTGCCTTCCAGCGCAATTTTGCACCCTTGTGTGACACTTCTTAAAATCTAAATTATTTTCATTTGTTTTCATACTGGACTGAGCATTAGCTCATCTCACATGTGTTTATAAACGCTATTTATCTGTGTTCTATTTATGTTTGATGTACTAGAAACCCTATCATTTGTGCGCTGCATTTTTTAAAATTTAATGTTTTTGCATTAGTGTGTAGCTGCGTTTTGCCACATTTAGCTATGTTTTCCTGTGCTTCCGTTTTTTAGCATTTTATTTTTACAAAAAAAAAGTCCAAAAATGCTTGCTTGCCACATTTTACCGTGTTTTACCGCATTTGCCGCATTTTCCAGTGTTTTTCAACGTTAGATTGTTTTTACAGATAAAAATCTCCTCTAGAAACCCACTAGTCCTGGGTTTTTTTCCAGCCAAAAAACACTGATTAAAGCCTATGTGTGCATGGACACGGAGGATAACATGCTGGGGGGTTTACTGGCTGTAGAAAAAAAAACACCAAAAACAGCCGCTGTAAAAACATCCAGTGTGCATGAGGACTAACTGTTCCATTGGAGACAGAGATAGTGTGAGGGCAAACAGCTTTTGCATAAATAGTTTTCACAATTATGTACAGTATAAAGCAGTGGTTGTTGACCTATGAGCTAAAAGGGGCCTCAAATGCTGCCCCTGATATCATCAAAGGGCCACACACAATGTTCAATATATGTAACACTTGAGAAACTGCAGACCTAATAAAGGAAATAAGGGTCAGAGTGTGGACAGGCTAGAAATGTATCTGTGGATAATCTACAGAAGACCAGGGGCGGACTGACCATTTGGAAACTCGGGCACTGCCCAAGGGCCCGGGGTCAGTAGGGGGCCCCATGGGATGCATTTTGCCGCATTTTCTAGTGTTTTTCAACGTTAGAGTGTTTTTACAGCTATAAATCTCCTCTAGAAACCCACTAGTCCTGGGTTTTTTCCAGCCAAAAAACACTGATTAAAGCCTATGTGTGCATGGACACATAGGATAACATGCTGGGGGGTTTACTGGCTGTAGAAAACAACGCCAAAAGCCAAAAACAGCCGCTGTAAAAATGTCCCATGTGCGTGAGGACTACAACATACTAAATGGGGTTGTGAAACAGACCTTCCAACTGAAAGTTCTACCAATAAACACGAAATCAGACGTGAGGCTAAAAACAGAAAATACAATTCCCGTTTTTGTTTTTCCAACATCTCAACCTCCTAAAATGCAACCTTTGTAAAAAAAAAAACAAAGCAAAACAAAAACACCCCAAAAAACAAAACAATCTCCTCTAGTGAGTCAAGGTTGCGTTTCTTAACATTAGGGAAAGCAAAAAAAAAAAAAAAAAAAGTCTAAAATGTGGGGAGGAATAAAAAAACGATGACAATGATGCATTCAAGAGCAGGCTTTGTTAAAGAGAATGTATTATCACTGATCTGAAATTGAAGGTTATGGAGCACAGGAAAATGTTAGAACCAATCTTAGTTCCACACAATTTAATGAAAAATAATTCATTCTTTAAATTGTCAGTGCACGGGTGATGTAATTCCTGCTTCATGGGACTGTCATGGATGGTTTGCCAATGGAGCGTGTCGATCTCAGGCCATTCTGTAAAGTATAAGGTGAAGACAAGAAAGTTCAATCCTAAGATTTTATGCAATATATGGAAGATACAGCAAATGGTTTGTTAAAGGGGAACTGTGTTTTGATCCCCTTTCATTTTCTTTAAATATATTGAATATTTTTTCATGCTTTATATCCCTGGTGCACAACATGCAGCCCCTTGGTATATCATGTGTGGCCTTCGGACCTCAGCCGTCTGTAGTGGGAACATTGATTGGGGTGATATCATTGATCTCTATTAGCCTCATGTGACATGTTCCCAGTTTCATATTGTCTTCTGCAGGGGCGGACTGACAACTCATGGGGCCCCCGGGCAATAGGGGCTCATGGGGCCCCTGTGTCCTTGCCCAAACTCAAAAAAGCTTATGAAAAATGTACCAGGGGCATCTCATGGGGCCCCCTACTGACCCCAGGCCCTTGAGCAGTGCCCGAGTTTCCAAATGGTCAGTCCGCCCCTGGTCTTCTGTAGATTATCCACAGATACATTTCTAGCCTGTCCACACTCTGACCCTTATTTCCTCTATTAGGTCTGCAGTTTCTCAAGCGTTACATATATTGAACATTGTGTGTGGCCCTTTGACGATATCAGGGGCAGCATTTGAGGCCCCTTTTAGCTCATAGATCGACAACCACTGCTTTATACTGTACATAATTGTGAACTATTTATGCAGAAGCTGTTTGCCCTCAGACTATCTCTGTCTCCAATGGAACAGTTAGTCCTCATGCACACGGGATGTTTTTACAGCGGCTGTTTTTGGTGTTTTTTTCTACAGCCAGTAAACCCCACAGCATGTTATTCTCTGTGTCCATGCACACATAGGCTTTAATCAGCGTTTTTTGGCAGGGGCGTTTTTTGGCTGGAAGAAAACCCATAACTAGTAGGTTTCTAGAGGAGTTTTTAGCTGTAAAAGTGCTCTAATGCTGAAAAATGCGTCAAACCACGGTAAAACGTGGCAAACCGGTGTTTCTGGCCTTTTTTTGAGCAAATTTTTTTTTTGCGTAAAAAAACTAAAAAACACAAAAAATGCGAATGCAGAAAAACACGGCAAAACACGTCTAAACGCTAATGCAAAAACACTAATGCACACGGGGCATTTTAACCCCTTCACGCCGGCCGCACGCAAATGTGCGGCCTCCTGGCGTCTGGGCCTAGACGGCGAGCAGCCGCACATTTGTGTTCATGTAACAAAAAACTTCATGTAAAGTCACGTTAAAAACTTGAGTTTTTCAGCTTTTCTTAAACGTTTTTGCATTAGCGTTTAGTGGCGTTTTCCCTTGTTTTTCTGTGTTTGCAGTTTTTAGTGTTTTTTTTTACCAAAAAATTTTTTTTTTTGGTCAAAAAACTCCAAAAACACCGGTTTGTGGTGTTTTTACAGCGTTTTACCACGTTTTTTCAGTGTTAGAGCGTTTTTACAGCTAAAAACTTTTCTAGAAACCCTCTAGTCCTGGGTTTATTTCTAGCCAAAGAACGTCCAGACAAAAAAAAACTTTGATTACAGTCTGTGTGCATGGAAACATAGGATAACATGTTGGGGGGTTTACTGACTGTAGAAAAAAAATGTCAAAAGCTGAAAACAACCACTGTAAAAATGTCAAGTGTGCATGAGGGCTAACTTGGAAAAATGCAGTAAAACGCGGCAAACTGTGCGTTTTTGGACTTTTTTGAGCAAAAATTTTTGTGTGTGTGTAAAACAACGCTAAAAAATGCAAACGTGGCAAAACATAGTAAAACGCGGCTAAACACTAATGCAAAAATGCTGCAAAACCTGACTTTACACAGCTAATGCTACCAGCGTTATTAAAAAACCCAGTGTGCATGGAGCCTAAAAGCGGCTCTAAAGTAAAAAAAGTGTTTTTCCTTATTGCATTCTCTGTATTAGAGTAAAAAAAACTCTCCACTACTTGCCCCCCCCAAACACTTACCTGACTCCTCTCACAATCCAGCACTGTGTCCCACTGCAGCACTGCTTCCCCCTCTCTTCCTGCTCTCATAGGAGGCACATAAGCCATAGGCTCCTGCTGCTATGAGTGAGAGTGGGCACACAGCTGCCCTCTGCTGTTAGCTGCTAGTATCACACTGTAATGTATAATTATGTACGCCACTTCCTGACTTGAAAGTTGTTGGGAAAAGATCATGGAAGGAAGAAGTGGAGAGAGAAAGTAGATCACAGCCACATGTCTTGTCCATACTACTAACCAGATCGAAGATCTGAAAAAGAGGAACACCTTCGAAACATGTCCAGCCATCATGAGTTTACTCTGCCTGGACTGTGGTGCCTTGATTTCATGTTTTTCCAAGCTGATTCCTGGCGGCTGTGATTTAAGTCTGCATTCATTTTTAACCAATAAAGATTTCTAGTCAGATATTGCACTCCTGTCTGCTTTTGTCTTTTGAGTGCCAGCCACAACCAAGCTGAGTCTATTAAAAGAGCCTGCAGGACCAGATCCAGAGCTGTCACGAGTTCCTTCTGCTGAAGGCCACTAGTTCTTTCTTCTTTGATGCATTTACACTAATAGCATTGATTATCTGTGCGCTTGTAGTTTGGTACATATTTGGGGGGATTTACTAAAACTGGTGCACTCAGAATCTGGTGTATCTGTGCATGGTAGCCAATCAGCTTCCAACTTGAGTTTGTTCAATTAAGCTTTGGCAATAAAACCAGAAAGCTGAATGGTCTCTATGCACAGTTGCACCAGATTTTGCACTCTCCAGTTTTAGTAAATAACCCCTATTGCCTAATACCAGATCAGCAGAGACTATTATTGCCAGATAACTAGGACTACGTTCCAGACTGGTTGGGTAATGGCTGGACAGTCTCCTCATCATCGCAGGTCTTGTCTTCGGGTCTCTGACACAAAGACAGATGCTGCATCATCCTCAAGGGCCCCTGCAACAGGATTTTGCTGCAACATTCATGTGGAGGTAGC